GTTTTTTTTTTCGTTTCATTTCATCATTATTGTGTTTTTCTTTTAATATAGTATCACATAAACGTTTACCAAAACTTTTGAAAACATTTGTATATAGCAAGTTTCAGGAAATATAACTACACACGATGTCTTATATAGGAAAGTCTTCTACAGGTCTACCAAATAACTTTTATTAAGTTTTCAAATAAAAATCGGGTCTACTCGTAATGTACCATAGGAACGTTGCTCTTGAGAATTACAAATACTGTGTTTAGTTATAACGACTCAGACAACAACCGTTTTTCTAACTAAATTTGGAATTATGATTTTGTCGTGTAATAAAAAAACACACACATATATATAATTGGGTGATTTCTGGATCTCGATAACAGTGTTATCTACCGCATCCAATTGTGAATCAAACACAAAATTTCATCAAAATCGGTCTATCCGTTTAGGAGGAGTTCCGTCACACACACGGACAGAATAATTTTATATATTTTACTTTCGATTATTTGGAGATTTAGCTTCGCTATGAAAGTACATAGGCTTCGCTACATGCTGCATTATATAGATTTCCTTGCAGTAAACTATCATCATAGCTTCCATACGTAGCAATACTGGACACAAGGTGACTTTCATTTCTGAGTAGGTTATGTAGCAGAAAAGAACCAATAATTGTTGGCAGACTCCAGTTTCTTCAAAATATTTTATTTCTCACTCATGGAGGTTTCCTCACGGTATTTTCTTTTATCATGTACCACACGGTATATGAACACTTGAATTTGCAATAAACAGTAACATTAGTATCGGCTGGGATTCAACGCTGCTTGCTCACGTATTATAAAAATTTAAGGGGGAACTTATCCTGCGCTCAACTAGGCTCTTACACTTAATAGAGATCATGTAATATTCTAAGATACTGCTACGAACCATTCAATCTCAGTCCAAGAGAGTAAAATGCAACTAGACAAAGACAGACAATGCATAAAGTTGTCTGTTTGTGATGTTTAGTTGCATTACAGAAAATTATTTATGGCAAACACAGTAAAAAGAAAAATAAGATACACAGGTAAACTAATGGCAGAATAACGAAAAGTTGAAATCAATATTGGTCAGCTAAAAACAATTCCGAGTCAGTCCGTTTTTACGTTGTGTTCGTTCAGTAACTTAGACTCAGAACTTACTATTCGAAGAGCTAAGTACGGTGCTCGCTCAAATCGAATGCGTAATGAATAGCCGCCCACTTTGTCATACGTTGTCTAGTGACCCCTCGGAACCGCTGGCTCTAACTCCAGCACATTTTTTAAATTTAACGCCTTTAAAGTATTTGCCCGCCGTAGATATGGATGAGAACAGACTTAGCATTTCCGCACGCCACAAATTATTAGACCGGTTAGTGCAATCGTTTTGGAAACGATGGAGGATGGAATACTTGCATACTTTGCAGTCTCGGCAAAAATGGAACACAGCAACTGAGCCTTTAGCTGTAGGAACTGTAGTTGTGCTCACCAAAGAGAATACGCCGCCTCTCCACTGGCCGTTATGAATTGTCGAAGAGGTCTTTCCCGGTTCCGACGGAGTAATTAGGGTAGCTCGCGTTAAGACCACGGTTGGGTCTTACCTGCGTCCTGTTGTCCGTTTGTGCCCCCTGCCTCTTCCATAATTTAAATTAGCTTTCTAGATTAGAAATTGTAGTTGAATTTAGGTAATCTTAGCGTTAGTTAGTTATTTTGTTAGTTTGATCTTAGCTCTAGTTGTTTTAGTTATTTTTTGAAGGAAATCCTTCAAGGGCGGGGGGAGATGGTTGCGCGGAAAACCATTCGTATTTATTTAATTTGACGGTAGGCTGCCAAATCGGTTATCACATACCAAAACGATATCATTCATACTCTCCTATCGACACATCGGGGTGGTGGGGTGGGAGGGGAAAGAAGATGATTCTAGAATATCACGTAATCAACGCAACCGAAGATATAAAAGACACGCACGACCGACGCGCGCTCTCTTCCCGCCGCGCTCGTTGTTGGAACCACACCGCTAGTAGAACCGATTTAGCCTGGAAGCAGTCGAGCTCCAGGAAACCCGCCTCACCTCGTGTGAGATATAGTCGCGCACCGCCTCTCTCCGGAGTGTTCCAGAAGAAGTTCCAGAAGTCGCAGCTATAGTGCTCGACCGAAAAGAAGAAACCCCGGTGAGTCAATATTCCTAAATATATCCTGCTTGGTATAACTGTGTTTTAACCCGCTCCAATTTTGTTTTCTCCTAATTAAGCAGGATTCCTTTCATCGATTTGGCAAATAATAGTTCGTTTTTTAGGGAAGAGCGAGTGCATTGTACCGCATGCTATAGTCGCCGTTTATATAAGTGTAGAAACATTTAGTAGATACAGTCCACTTAGATTAATAGCTCGCGTAATAGGTTTTAAGGTTCGACCGGGGAGTTAGACTTCGGCAACCTTAGGCTCGACGCTCCACCAGCAATCGCTTAACGCAATATTTGTAAATTTAAGTCTTAGTAAACACAATTAAACTGGTATCTCGCTTGTGAGTAGATTGCTAAGGATTGGGGGTTTAATTTTCTCGTACAAATCCTGTCTCCGCTATGTAGCAAGCTTTGTTAGTACCTTTTCAAATATAATATGTGTGAGACTACAAGCTTTAAAGCAATAAATATTTTACATATTATTTACATTAAATTAATTTTCAAAGAATTTGTACTGTTTAATTTTTCGGGCATAGCTGGAGAGGACACCTGCGTCTTGGTTAGAAAGAGCAAGGCCGGCGTCATCGTCTCGAGTTGGTACTCGTAGTGGACGTCGAGTGAAGTCAGATAATATTGTAGAAATTCACGGATAGCGTGGCAGGGGTTGCCTTGGTGTTATTCCTCAGCTTACCCCGAGCAGATCGTCTTGAGCGGAATGTCGCCATCCCAGAATATAGGGGCAGCCCTGAGCACCCACGCTCAAGTGTGTAATAGCTTGGTCGTGGATAATCTGCGAGGGATTCTTCAGGGGTACTGGTACCCTCCTGGGGTAGTCTTACGTTTAATTCCGCTATTATATTGATGGGGATAAGTACCGACTGTGATGCATTCTAACTTAGACCTTTGGGGTGACAACGTATTCTTTGTATGAAGTTAGCAGCAGGTATTCATGAACTGCAAATCAGGTGGACTGTAACTTACAAAGCTTAAAATTTTGATATAAATTTTGCATTTTTTTTATCTTAGGAGTACCTCTTGCACCTTTCTGTATCTGGTAGGTTACGTCATTGATTTTTGTCACAATTCGGTACGGTCCGTCTCATTTACCTTGAAGCTTAGAGAATTTCCCTTTGCTGCAGACTGGATTGTGCAACTACACTAGTGAATCTTCGTCGAACCCTTTGTTGTTCATTTTGCGGTCATACCGGGTTTATTTCTTTTCGGATATTTGCTGGCCCGATTGTCTGACCTGCTTATAAATGTCATTTATTTTGTTGTGCTTGGGGCATCAGGTCGTATTCCGTTGATCAGCTCTGCAGGCAGATGTATTTCTTTTTCGAAGTTTGCGAAAACTGGTGTCACTGACGTACTTTCATTTGCCAACACAAACGGTTATATGTGCTTGTCCCAATTTCGTTGCCGATTTTCCACAACTTTTGCTAGGTACCTCTCTAACGTCTGATTAAATCGTTCTACCTTTCCTCCATCAGATTGCGGGTGATAAGAAGTTGTCCTTGTGTTGTGAGTACCCATAACTTGGCAAGTTTCCTGGAATATTTAAGACTCAAAATTCTTTCTTTAATCTCTGTGAATCTCTAAAGGTACTCCAAAACGACAGAAGAACTCATGAACTAGTTTATCTGCAACTGTAAAGCTTCTTGATATGGAATAGCGGAAACTTCTGGCCACTTAGTGAGTAATCCATCATACCTATGAAATATTTGTTACTACTATCACTTTCCGGAAACGACCCAGCACCGTTGGGGGCTATTCTCTTCCATGGTGCACCAACACTGTACAATTTCAATGCACCTCGACAATGAGTCTGAGGTCTCTTCACATCCTCTCCACATCCTCACCAGTCCTCGACATCGTCACGACAGTGGATCCAGTAAAACCGTTCTCAAATCTTCAGTAGAATTCGCTTAACTCCCAGATGGCCTCCTGAACCACTATTATGGTACAGCTTTAAAATATTCGGTACTTTAGCTTCAGGCATAACCATTTGCAAATGACGTATTCGTAACTCATATTATGACAATTGAAACTGTTTTGTACACAAAAAGGGCGCAGTAATGAAATAAAGACATAAAAATTGTTGAGTTGTGACTCATCTTTCAGAGTCATTTATTTTTATACTATGCTGGCAATTTCAAAGCAGCTTACAACTTTATTTCGGTTAAAATCACAACACGAACCGTAATAACAAACGTTGGACGTATAAGTACCTACTTCCCGTCGATTGCAGCTTTTTCAATGTTGCTTTCATATAAAATGCGGACTATATAATGCCATTGTTACACTTTTGAAGAGAATTCATAACAGTAAATTCCGATTTTATTGCAGTTTTGCAACGCAATATGCAACTGTGTAAAACCTGTAAGGTCTCATCTTCAGTGGACACAATAGAGTCAGCTAAAACCCCTTATATTGTTACGTAAAAAGAAGGTACGACGAGTAAGACGGCTTTTGATGTGCTTGTATAATGATTAGAATATGCACTACTCATCATTTTCGATCAATTTTTCATTTAAAATCACTTGTGTATTTTATTAATAGTCTTTTAAAACACAATGGTTAACGTAGACGTAAAAGTAATCCAGCAGGGTAATTTCTAGGGTATGAATTTTCCTAGGGTATTTTTTGGGGTAACAGTCAATAACAGTAAAATAATTACTTTGAATGATATTGTTTTTGAACGCGCCCATTACAGATTCCGTGTCGTGAACGCACCGATTGCTTTTGTGTCTCTCTCTAGTCTCTTAGTTATTGTGTTGCTTGCTCTTTCTTTTCGAGAGTGTGTGTTGTTGTGAAAAATGGCGTCGTCTAGTGCTGGCGTTACGCGTTCAGGTGTGAAAAAGTATGCACAAAAATACTGTAAAGAATGGGAGTATGATCCAAATTTAAAAGGTAAGTCCAGTTTTCTTAAAGCTATAATATGTATTAATCTAATTGAGCAATGAGACTGAGGTTACACAAGCATTATTGTAACTGTTTTTCTTTGATTCTATTGTACTTTGTTTGGCAGTTTGGCTGTTAATATTATTTGAATGTCTTTGGTAATGTATAAGAGTTGCCTGTTGCAAAATTTACCCACATCTGTAGGTATATTTTACGGGTGGTGGTGGTGATGGATAAAGATAAATGCATATTGTGGTGATGATGAAGATTAATGGTGGCGGCGGTGCGGTGGTGTTAACGTTTTGCTTTTTTTATTTTTAGATTGGATTTGTCCTGACCCCACTGGTGAAAACTATGCAAGGTGCAAATATTGTAAAGTCACATTAGTACCCCACAAGAAAGAACTTAACTATCACGCAAAGAGTAAAAAACACATAAAAGCTGTGTCATTAGATAAAGCGGCGAAGTCCTGTCAGCAATTGCCTTTTATAAAAACAGTTTCGAAGAATAACAAAACTGCGGAATTAAAAACAGCTACTTATATAGTTGAACATAGTGCTATTCAAAATGTAGATCATTTAGGTGAAATCCTGCCATGTCTTGATCTGAAATCAGAAGTTCTGGGGACGTTAAAAATACACAGAACTAAATGCAGCATGCTAATAAAAAACGTTCTTGGTCCAGTAATGATGCAAGAAATGATATCAGGTGTTGGTGATGCTGCATATTCACTTATTGTAGATGACGGACATACGGACATATCAACAGATAACATTCTGTGCATAATGATACGGTATTTTTTAAAAATTAAGCAGGATATCATTACAACATTTTACAGATACATAAAAATATCTAAATGCGATGCAACAACCATCTATGAAACTATAAAAAATACTTTACTAGAGGACTCCTTACGTCTTGAAATGCTGGTAGGAATTGGGCTAGACGGTACTATTGTAATGATTGGTGAGTACCACTCTGTCGCAGCACTGTTGAAAAGAGACTTACCGGATATTATCGTCGTTAATTGTACCTTTCATTCGTTGCATTTATGTGCAGAGAAAGCTTCGGAAAGTATGCCCCGTCAACTGGAATTTTTGATTCGGGAATGCCACAATTGGTTCTCGTATAGTTCAAAACGCCTTGAAGCCTACAGGGACTTATACGAAATTATTAACAAAACTCGAGTTCCAAAAAAATACCAGGATTTTGCGGAACATGCTGGTTAGCACGTTCTCATGCTATACGTAAGTTACTCGAGCAATGGGAGGAATTAAAGCTTCTTTTCATGATGGCTAAGACTGAAGACAAATGTTTCATGGCTGAAATTGTTTAATGACATGCTTGAAATGCAGAGCTTACCATGCATATTTCACGTTCTTAGATGTTCATTACGACAAGTTACTAAAATAAATTGCCTTTTCCAATGTGATAATGTCGATCCAGCGAAACTGTTAGAAGACTTGTTTTTGCTATTCAAAAATATCCTGCAAATTATTGTCATACCTCGGAAGCTTGAAACTGTTACGGATGGAGAATATGCATCATTTGGTTTTCAGGAGCATTTGATGCATGTATCAGCAATGCATTTTGGCTACACGGTTGAAGAGGCGCTATCGAAACTAGACAGACGTGACAAAGAAGACGTACGTGAGAGACGCAAAACCTTTCTTGTTATATTGTGTTCCGAATTACAGAAAAGGTTGCCAAAACAGATCACATTCCTTAAAGCCATGGTGAAGTTGTCTCCAGAAATAGCCACTTCTCAAATGAAACCTACATTAGTTGACATATTACAAAATGTTCAAAGGGCTGAAGTATAAACAAGAGGTAGAAATGGAATGGAATAATTTGCAAAACAAATCTTGGAAAAATACGACGCGTTGTACTGATTTTTGGGCTGAGGTTCAGGGGGACACAGACGCTGGGGGTAATAAAAGATTCCCTAATGTCTCTAAATTAGCATTGTCTCTTTTGTCGGCGCCTTATCTAATGCAGCCGTAGAAAGGGCCTTTTCTCTATACTCAGTCGTCAAAACAAAGCTTAGGAATAGGCTATCCCTGCCTATGATAGAGAGTATAATGACTGTAAGATACAATTTAAACATATTTCACAAATCTTGTGCTTCACTCATTCAACAATGTTGGACAAATTTAATAATAGCATGTATGACAAAAAAAGATAAAGATGCAGAAGATACTTTTATTGTTATGTGCCAATAATATAATAATATGAATAAATAATGTAGTTGTTTTATTTGTAAAAAAGGAAAAGACAAGGATATTTTTTAGGGTATTTTTTTAAATAATACAGATTCTAGGGTAAATTGAGACCAAGCCTAGGGTAAAGTAAAACCTTGACCTGGCAACACTGTCTACAGGTCTACCAAATAACTTTTATAAAGTTTTCAAATAAAAATCGGGTGTTATGTACCATAGGAACGTTGCCCTTGAGAATTACAAATACTGTGTTTAGTTATAACGACTCAGACAAAATTTATTCTAACTAAATTAAATTCGGAATTATGATTTTGTCGGATAAAAAAATTATATATATATATATATGTGTGTGTGTGTGTGTGTGTATGTATGTTTATACTAGCGATCCGCCCCGACTTAGTACGGCTGATTTCTGGATTTCGATAACAGTGTCATCTGCCGCATCTAATTGTGAATCTAAATCATTTTTGAATCAACATAATCACACACACACACACAAAATTTCATCAAAATCAGTCTATGCGTTTAGGAAGAGTTCCGTCACATACGGACAGAATAATTTTATATATTTTACTATCGATTATTTGGAGATTCAGGTTCGCTATGAAAGTGCATAGGCTTCGCTGCATGCTGCATTATATAGATTTACTTGCAGTAAACTAATATCATAGCTTCCATACGTAGCAATACTGGACACAATGTGACTTTCATTTCTGAGTGGGTGGTGAACAATAATTGATGGCAGACTCCAATTTCTTCAAAATATTTTATTTCTCATACATGCAGGTTTCTTCACGATATTTTCTTTTACCACGTAATACACGGTATATAAGCACTTGAATTTGCAATAAACAGTAACATTAGTATCGGCTAGGATTCAAAGCGGTTTGCTCACGTATTATAAATTTTTATGGTGGACACTTATCCTGCGTGCAACTAGGCTCTTACACTTAATAGGGTTCATGTAATATTTTAAGATTTCTACTGCTACAAACCGTTCAATCTCGGTCCAAGGGAGTAAAATGCAACTAGAAAAAGACAACAATGCATAAAGTTGTCTGTTTGTGATGTTTAGTTGCGTTACGGAAAATTATTTATGGCAAACACAGTAAAAAGAAAAATAAGATACACAGGTTAACTAATGGCAGAATAACGAAAAGTTGAAATCAATATTGGTCAGCTAAAAACAATTCCGAGTCAGTCCGTTTTTACGTTGTGTTTGTTCAATAACTTGTTCTTTTAGGTGTCTTTTGGAAGAATGAATATTCACTAGAGAAATTGAAAGCTGTTGGTAGTGCCTTATAAGCTAAGTTAACCCCGTTCATGAAGACAGGGCTCTTAAAAAGTTAAGAACATAAAACGTCACTATTCCACTTGTATCAGGTTTACATTATTAATTCAAATGTGGGTAAGTTACAGAGATATGTTATTATGTTGTTATATAAAACATTATGGAGGTCAGACAGTCTGCAGCCCCGTAATGGAGGGACCCGACTTGGGCAAAGCTACTTAGGTGTGAGTCAAACCAAGACGCAGAGACAGCCATTGAGAACAGTGTCCCACCACACAACCATAGCAGAGACGCAACGCTGTAGAACGCAACAAGCATCAATACGACTATCGTCGGGCTTACACCATCCCAAGATCCCCATACATCCCAGCAGACATCACCACCCGTATACCTCCATCGACCGGAACGACAAGATGCATCAAATCAGGCGCAGCACACCCGCTGATCCATCACAAGACGCAATACCGCAAGTAGCAGTAAGCATAAATGCAACTATCAAACCGATCGCCCTCCCCCCTCACAACACACCGTCATGATCTCTATCGACTTTGGTAACAAAATTTGTATTGTTGTTACCTAAAAAATAGCACCAACGTATCATAGTAGCACGCTACTAAGACGCCATGGACAGTACTCCACGTATCATAGCGCTAATACACTAAAATATGAAGTTGAGTATGCTTGTTACACTTAAAAGTGCTACCAAATACACTCATCCCAATTCGAAAGATAGATGACGCATCGCTATGCGCTACGACGCCGCCCACAAACGGTATGGGTGTGCGATGTCCACAGGAAAGCCGTATTGCTAAAACAAACCCGCTTAGCACCGGCACTAAGATGATATGTCTAGGACACATCGCTTAGCGAGTCCAAGTTTACCTCGGTCTCAGTTGCTCGTGAGCAGCATAAACGCCACTATAATAATCCTTTTCAAGTCCCATTTCAATTAATATAATGCTTTTACTTATTTGAAACATTCCACATATTTTCTTTATTTCATAGACCTTACTATTACATCTTTTTAATATATAGGATTTCAACCCTACTACTATCAGAATGCTTATGCATCAAAGAGACCTTTTACAATAATGCTTTTGTATTATAGACCCTACTATTATATATCTTTAATATATGGGACTATAACCCACAACTCTACTGTTATACTGCTAATTCATCAAAGAGACCTTCTATAATAATGTTTTTGTATCAAGGACCTTACTATCATAAGTCATTAATATATAGTACTTCAACACACAACTCTAGTATTGTAATGCTTATACTTCATAGAGACCTACTATAGTAATGCTTTTGTATCATAGACCTTACTATTACAAGTGTTTTGATATATGGGATTTCAACCCTCAACTCTAGTATCGTAATGTTATTACATCATAGAGATCTTCTATAGTAATGTTTTTGTATCGTAGACCTTACTATCATAAGTCCCTAATATAGGACTAGTCATCGTGCAACATTACTTCATGCAGTCGGTCACCTGACCATTCCATATATATGTATGACCTTGACGACGTTCTTATATGACAGACAAATTTAAACCAATTTTCCAATTATTTTATAAATGTTATTTATCTTTATTTTTATAATATTTTCGACTTGTATTTCTATTATTTATCACACTTTTACAAGTTTTTTTAACATAAATTTATTTATTTCGAAACACAATATTCTGTCTTTAATTTACTATAATACTTAATGTCTGAAATGTATTTTTTTAACTTTATGCTTATTAATATAATTTTATGGTTTAATATATATCTTTTAAGATTATTTTTGACGCCGAAATTAATAATTAATTATAATAATTATGATGGGCCGTCACAATATGTTTCAAGAAAATTGTTATTTTAATGTATATACATACATATGCGAACAAGCCAATGACTGCGACCTAACTGCACGTTATTTATGTAATAATAAGTCAAATGTGTCTGCCAAATAAAACAATGACTGTTTCTGTATCATAATTATTATTGATTATAAATACTGTGAAACCTAACAGAGTAAAATGTATATTATGTAGTAAATGTATAGTTTATAAATTTTCGGCTGTCAATAAGAGTGAAGATTTAATTTCAAATATACAGTACAATATAAATTACAATATACATAAATATAAAGGTTGGCCATGAATAAAGCGTAAAACAAATACCCTATTCAGATTTTCTACAAAGGCGATGACAGGAGCGGATTACGATGATAAAAATGAAATAACTACTAGTCTCATTGCGGTTACGTAGCCTAAGTCTCCCCCATTTTCCGTCGATAAGGTTTAAAAGTCTGACGTATGATGAGACACGTCTATTAAGTTAATCGATAAAGTTTTACGATGAAAATTACAATGAATATAAAGAAATAGACATTATAAATAAACGTTTTACTTTTTATAATATGCTATATATTTTATTTTTTACCGACTTCAAAAAGGAAGAGGTATTCAATTCGACTGTATGTTTCTTTTTTATGTGTGTTAGCTCATAAATTTTCTCTGGGTGAACCAATTTTTATGATTCTTTTTTAATCTGAAAGTTGGTGCTTCTTGAGTTTTTGAGTTATATTTAATAATACATATTTAATTGCGGTCGTATTAAAGGCGGTTGTACATTTTTATAATTTTACCACTTGTGTATTTTGTTTTTTTATAATAAGATAGTAGCTTATTCATTGCGTGGATGTTCAAAGATTCTAAATATATTTCAGGTTTATGAAAATCGAGCTTTATGTAATAAAGAAAAGGAATTACTATCTCTATACATCATTTTCCTCAACTTTATACTAACAATTCTTCTTCTGAATGACATTTCAAATTTCATATTCACAACACTACTCAACCGATTAGGGCGCAGAATTGGTAACCCCGTAAGAAGGAACCATTACCTACAAAATAAAAATTCTCAAATACCTAATAACATCTAGATTTATCAAACATCATTAATATATATAAAAAAAAAAAAATATAATATCATTTTTATAAACCATATTTATGTTTCTAATACCTAATTAAGCTATAAAAGCACACAGTTTGAGAAAAATTATATAATATCTTTGTTAATATATGACGGCGCAACTAATAGCATATATCAAAATAAAATTGATATTTTGTACCTCAGCATTGAGAAAATACAATCTCTTAGTCTTCTTTGATAACGTAAAGATCGAGGAGTCTCAAGCTTTAAGTGATATTAAGATGGAGTGGCTGCAATAAGGATATGTCGAGGAAATTTTAAAGCATAAAATAATTTCGCTTTTTGTGATCATTTGTGTTTTCCGAAACCAACAGCAAAGTTTGATA